TACTATCAGTGTCTGAAGCAGTGCGACTAATGCTACATGTTTCCACGGGAGACCGATCTGCAGCGTGGTGAGGTTTTGGTGGCCGAGGTGGAGGAATATCTGGAATAGTCTCCAGTTTTGAAGTCTGAGACAACGTTCCCTCTGGAAAAGTTCGTGGAATCTGGTAAGTACCTCCAGGTGTGGGGGGAATGTCATAGCTAATGGAGATGTGTCTCATCTGTGCGTCTAATGAAGATGATGTTGACGGGGTACTGAAAACATGTTGCTCTCCTTCTGCATCAGTCCCAGATGGAGATGCTGCCTTCGGTAAAACATCCTGTGAGTAACTCCTAGGAAGGTTATAAAGGCTGCAGTCTGCCAGTGTCTGTCCAGTACGAGAAGGTGGAGAGTCATAGACACCTTGCTGCTGAAAAAAACCGTTCACAGCATGCTTGCTCGCTGATGGAGCAGGATTTTTGTGGGAGGGCACGTTATCATTGCAGTCTGTTTCAGAAGAGCTGGATTTTGCCGAGTCAGCATGAGATCTACATGTAAGATTGGAAGATTAAAATGTTGATGAACGTATAAAGAAAAACAAACATTACAAATAATAAACACAACATTTAAAATGTAAACAACTAAAAAGTCTATTAGTCTCTTCCAATTTTTTTTTTAATGAAATGCAGGAACTCAATTATTAAACAAACAGTAGTACTTAAAAAGGATCCTAATTACATACATACAAATCCATGCACGTGAAACAGATAACACAAGTGTGGAGCTTTAGCAGCAGCTAAACAACAAGTTGATGTTTCATAAAGCAAGTGATTTCCACAACGCCAACTTGGAGCAGACTTTGGGGGCTGAGAGATTATTTTTTTTTAACCCATGCTGCAAACTAGCAGCACATTAACGGCACTGTCAAAGGTAAAAATAACACAGTCAACCCTTGGGTTTACAGTACTTGGTAGTTTTAATAAGTATAAAAAAAAGTTAGAGGAAAAAATATGACTGCTTGTAACACTCTTAAGTGCATGCCTGAAGTTATCTACTGATCATACAAAACTGGTTCGAAATGCGTAAAGGAGAGAGAAATAACAGATAAGAACAGAAATAGGAAGATAGCACGCTCTTGGGGGGGGACGGGGACGCATAGGATATATGTGCAACAGAATGCTTTTGTCTTGAATGCAAGTTAAGGCAGCATTGTTAGATAAAACTGCACAGTAGTTTACCTTTGGGAAATTTCATCTTTTATGAGAATAGCACTCATTAATACTGGTACTAACCAGTACCAGTAAAGTTACATGGAAAGTAAACACATTGCAATCATTTTTTACTTTTTTTTTTGTAAACCTCCCCAGTTACCTTGCTCCAGGCAGAGAAACTCTGTTATCAGTCTGACTCCTTGCTTAAATGAAAGTCAAGATAGTGGCAAAATACTAACACAGGTGAAGTTAATGCAGTCCATAGGCTTTTTGATCAATCACACCATGGTATTTCCTATTTTCATTACCACAGTACCATACCATTGTGTTAATTTATAAATGTATATGTAAATATTTCAACACGTATATGCAATGAACAGCAGCTATACTAGTCTTACTAAGCTCTATCAAGCAACTGGACCATGCAGTTCACAAAATTTCTGAGGAATAAAATGCATAAAAATCAACAGCATGACTATCAAAAGAAGCATTTTCCCCCTTATTTTAAAAGGCTCTCTACCTCAAAGTGATCACAACCAGATTTTATTATTCAAATTTCAATTTGTCAGTAAGATAGCACAAAACTTTCTTTCTTAAGGGACAGCTGGATTTATCTCCCGCGGTTCTGGTAACCTGAGGAGAAAGGAATCCAGTTTAGCTATTCATTTAGGTTTCCTCTGCAGTCATTGGAGAAATGGAGACTGTGTGAAACACAATCCATTCTTCTTAGATACGCATCTAAACCCCATGAATCATCCCCAAAGTGCCTCTCTGCCAGCTATCAAGGGAACCAACGTGATTAGCTTAGACTGGACATCTGCAGTCAAGAAAAATGTCATTCACCTAACCAACTGGTTTTTGTTCTATTTAACAGCAGAGATACAATCTTCCATCAGCCTGAGCGGCTTATGAGAGTTCTTCTCCAGCTTTAATTATATTACCCTTTTCTGTTAGCTTGTTCTTAGATTTTTGGGTGTGGGTCTTTTTTTTTCATTAGAAGTAGTACACTAATTTGGCTCTGGTTACTATTTTAAACATATATTTAAGTTCTGTCTCACTGGTCAGAATTGTTTTCTAGGTGACTCTGAACATTAAGCATTTAGTTTAAAAGACCCCCAAAAAAGAAGAGAATGTTCTCATTAAGTATTTATCCTTGGCACAACCAAGGAAGTGAAACTTCCTATATTCCTTACGATGTTGACCATCAAAAACGTATCTCTTGTTTGCTACTGATCTAATTCCCTTGCCTCAGAGCTTCAAGAACTCGGTAATGAACTACTGGAAGTTCAATACACTTGCAAAAAATAGAGCACATCGGACTGAAGGCACTACATGTGGTTACAGAGTGCATAGTAAGTTGTGAACATACTGTGTGATTTGTGCCACTCTGAGCTTAGGCCCTGCTGCAGCCTTTGCTCTTTACTTTAAGGATTCTTTCAGGAGTTCCTCACTTTCCAGATGTGCTCTTCTAGTCCTCTGGTATTCATTCAGACCAAAGTCCCAGCAAAAGTCATGTGTGTTTTACACGCTATAAAAATAAAGTGGGCAGTCTAGAGAAGCTGAGTACTGACAATCAATTGTGGAACCAAAATCATTAGTTCCAGTTCACTAGGATATACTTTAAAATGAAAAAAAACTTCCTAAACTACAGAAATAAAATATAAACACTACATTTACCTTACAAAAACATGCAGAAGCATATAACCAAAGCTCAAAATGCAACAGCACATATATGATGCCAGTGCTTAAGGATTGCCCATCATATGTAAGCGACAAATGCTATCATTTTTAAATTAAGGAGTTTTTCTGGGTCTACGTGAATGCTGCTGCTTCTTTCTTGACCAGAAGCAGTTGTGAAAACAGAAGACTTTTGAAAAGCATGACACATGAGGCAGCCATGCCTGTCATTTGCTTAGCTGATGGCAACAACTTACATTTCTCATTATAACAGGGCATTTCTGATTCACTTCATGTTTTTAAAAGTAATCTTTTGGAACCAGCTTCTTAGTCTATTGAAACAGTTTTCAAAATACTAATGGGTTGTAACCAACCTAATTTTGCAAGACCAAAAGTTTGAAGACAGTCCAAAACCTGGCCCAAGAAAGCAGTTTATGCAAAAATTAAGACAGGGAATTCAGCCTCTGAAGCTTACCTAGGTTTGAAAAGTCAGTATTAACCACTGATGATGAGAACACCACCTACAATTTTGAAAATCTACAAGCATGGTTGAATTATGTTACATCAAGGAAATGTAGGTTACAACGAGTGCAGGGACAGACTTTACCCCCGCTTTCTTTTCTTTTCTAATAAAAAAAAAAAAAAATTTGAGATGCAGGATGCTTGATGACATCTGCACTTAAGGAAGTTACCTGAAAATTTTAATTTTTCTCACACACTTCAGAACAGCTCAAAAAAAAAAAAAGTTGGCTTAAACATTTTATTAACAATTGGTTAAGATAACTATTAATGTTTTTTTACACCTCAGTTTAAAACAGTGGCAAAGTTGGATATAACACAATGAAAACTCCATAAGCAAAGGATGACTGTGACATGAATTCGGTGTTATCACATGTGGGCATCGCATACCTGCAAATCACGCTAAGTGGCCAAACTATTCCTTACAGAGTGCTAGTACTGGACACCTCTTTCCACGTATCATGAAGACATAATTGCTGATCTACAACGACTGGACATTAAGATGCAGAGAAGAGGTGGGGTATTGAGGCAGGGGGAGCCCAATAAAAACCCGTCTCCACGTACTAAAAACTACTTGTTGACAGAGACCCAGGAAAAAAGTTTTAAAAGCGTTTTAGCCTGGGGGGTAATCATCCCATTTTTAAATATGCTGTATTTGGTCTGGCTTGACCATTCATCCTTTCAAGCTGATTCTTTTCTCATCTGCAGGAATCGATATGACCGATTAAACAGAATCCCATCAACTAAGTGGCAGCAAAACTGCTCTTGTGTGCCAGCCATCTGGGACAGAAACAGCAAGCAATAGTAAAAATGTGGCTAGATAAATAAGTAAATAAATAATAAACCAGCTCTATTTCCAGAAAATGGAAGCCAAAGTTACATAGTTTTTCTGTTAAAACTCACAGAACACCATGCAAGACGCATCTCAAACAAACAATACTTTCAGGCAAGTTAATGGCTCTGTGATTAATCTCTCACACGCGTTCCAAGAATGGCTACTGTTCACTCACTGCAGTGGAATCTTTTTACTTTCAAAATCTTCTAATAGCAGGTATTCCTGCCCTTCTTCCGAGAGAAAGGGTGACCCTTGGCTGGTTCATAAACATAGGAAAGATGAGGAAGACAGCGTTTAGTATTTCAATATACCTCTCGAATGAGCCAGAACAATAAGGGTTTGGGAAACAGTCTTTGGCTGCATTTTCTTATTTAGGATCCAAATGCAAACCTTAAAATATCACTAAATGCTACAGTTGAACAATGCTGTTTCTCAAGTCAACAGTGATCAGAGCATAAAACTATTTTAGACAAAACAGAGCATTATTACAGCTGCAAGTGCTGCGTCCAAGATATTCTCACAACAGTACATGATGCATCACATGACACCGTAATGAAGCATTTCAAAATTATTTGTTAGTTCTGAAACACCACAATTCTTAAAAATTTCAAAGAAGCAACTCGGATACTTCCTCTATGTTTCATGGTTATCCGCCTCATGCGGAAAAGAACCCTGAAGCCTTGAAATGAAATTCAGTGGTTCCCAGATTATCTGTAAAGTAACATGCAAAATTAGAACAAAAAATGTTCCCTTTGCATATCAGCAACTTTAAAGTCTAAAGGGAAATCGGCACAGAAATAAACCATTCAAGCAACAGTACCTGCCTATTTAATTACAGCTATTAAGCTTTGCACTTTACACTAAAAAAAAAAAAAGGTGGTATGAAATACACAGATAAATTGTTTCAAGTCTGGAAATTAATAGGAAAATGATGCAGCTATTTAATTTTTTCTTCACCTGTAAGGATGTGGATTGCGGTAATACGCAGAGTGCCCTCTAAATGGTCATCTTAGTAACATGCTACCCAGATACAGAAAGCTCTAATTCCATAGGAAAAGGTCTGTATCCTCTATACTCCAGCCCAAATCCAGCAGAATATCTACTGTACCAGATACAAAACATAAGCAGTCCTTTTAGGTGGAACTGAAACTCCAGCATAACTATTATTCTGAATTTTCATTATTATAGCCCTCTTAATAAGAGGGCATAGCTATTTAGTGAATTTAGTTAAACATAATACACTAAGACCATATAATTTCCCAGTAATCACAATGCTAATACTTCACTGTCTTCAAATATTCCTATAAAAACATCCATTTATTTAAACAATATCTACACTCCCAAAGACTTCGTTCAGTTCTTTCTCGGTTCCCTCTGCATTTTTATCTCCATTGGACCTTCTGCCTTCCCCAAGATCCAAATACCTTCTCCTTTGCCACCAGTGTCTCCATCAAGGAATTTTGCCAGTTATTCATGGTCTCTATACCTTGCCCTGTTTTGTGCGCCCTTTTATGGTCCCCTCAGACTTTATTCCATCTACTTAACCCACGCGTCACACAACTCTGGAATTCAGGTGAGAAAGTCAATTACACATCCCAACCTTGATCATTCCTAAAAATACACTTCATGTGGTGGTATCAGAGATCCACTGTGCCCACCCCTTGCAGAAGCGAACAGGCACTCAGACGCATTTCTGATGAGCCAGGGCGCTGAAAAGGAAAGTCAAGATTTGTCTGCCAAGCTGTTCTGAAAACGGTACCAAACTTTCTGATAACTTTTTGGCAGGAAAGGTGACATACCTCTTGGGCACCATCAGCTTCTAAACATCACTAAATAGCGAAACCTTTAACACCGAGAAAGCACACACTAGGTTTCCCCTTCTCTTGCAGGAGCCTTTGGGGCACACCGTGCTGCCTGTAACCTGCACATTCCATACTCTGGGGGAACTGTAGTCTCATTCCTCTGTTTTATAAGAAAGCTCGTAAAGGGTGGATACTTTTCTACCATGTAATCATCAGTAAACGGAGCAGGAAACTCCTCAGGCACAACAGAGCAAGATAAAAAAATGCCAAGGGAGCGGAGAGCACATGGCACAGGTAAAACTGGCAGAGCATCAAGGTGTTGATGAAGAAGGCACCACCACTAAAAGGTATGGCCCTAAGGGAGTATGTGAAATACTCATGAACACACTTTCAAAGGAAGCTTTCCTCAGCCTTCCATGTACTTGTCTGCAATCACAAAAAGAATATGACGTTTTGTTTATTTTTCTGGATATACCCCAGCAGATTTTATTTTGAATTACTGCAGAAGAGAAGCTTGCCAGAGAGATTCATAAGGTTCTCCTACAGAATCCTCAAGGTCAGAAGGGACCTCTGGAAATTATCTGGTCCAGCTCTTCCAATACCTCTAGGCAAAGAACTTCAAAGTCAGGTGAGGCTCCTCAGGAGCTTGTCCAGTTAAGTACATTTGTGGTTGGTTTGTTTTTTTAAAATCTCAGAGGACGGAGATTCCACTCAGTCCCTGGGCAATCTGCTCCAGGGATGGCCACCATGATCCATTCTGAAAAAACATAGCGATATTTCCCAGGTAGCTACCTTAAATATCATACCCTCCTATGCAGGAGGTGCTGTAAATTTATTTAAGTTAGAAGTAGCAGTTGGAGAAACAAATATACATTTAATTCAGGAGAAGTTCTCAATTTATTCCTTAAAATTTCCTATTGCATGCTTCTCTGGAGAACTACGTGGGTACTCTATTCAGTAAGAATTAAGGCTTATTTAAGGATTTTTTTTAAATGTCTGTTATTTGGAAAAAGTTAAAATTCAGGATACAGAAATCAAGTGGTTTAAGTCTCCTGCATTCTTAGGTATCATAAAATAATTATCTTTTACTCTTGCTTGACTCTGAACGATGTTAGTAATAGTCAACAAATACCATTCAAGGATCGCTATATTCAGTGATGTGGTAACCTGTCACGTGATAATAAATATCAGTATGTTTTACTGAATCCCTTCCATGAAAGCTTTATCTGGCAAAACTCAGGAACCAAATACCAGAAGAGAGAAAGGCTAAATTTCTCCAGCTTTTTCTAGTCCTAGACTGGACTAAACACACCAGACTGTGGCTAAGGAAAAGAGTACTTCTCTGGTCTGTGCCATGCATCACTCCAAACTACAATGAAATGCTTGGATCTCTGCATTTATCTGATACTTCGTATGGGCAATTGCTGTCCACACTTCTGAAGAATGCAACATGGGTCTAGCGTTGATCAAACAAATTACTATTGCTGCAAAAAGTTCAAGCACAGAAAGAAAAGAAGCAAAAGTTACAGGCAGCTTCCCCCTGCAGATTATATGCATCAAAATGTTCAATGACTCGGCAATAAAAAAGTGCTTTTAGCACAAACATTCCTGGCCTGTTACACAAATAAGTGCTATTAAGAAAAAAATGTCACTTACCTCATAGGTTCGGGTTTTTTACTTTGACAGTTTATTAGGAGTAGGTAGTCTTGAGGATCTTCTTGACCAGAGGAAGACTCCAGTGGAGGGATGTTAATAAGCTGGTAAGGAGGAGGTAGGGAAGATTCTGCTTGCATGGAAGGTGGTGAAGTGTTGATGGGCAAGGGTAAATCAGCAGATGGTTGTAAAGAACCGACTGGTGGCTTCACAGCATCTGCAAACATAGAAGCAAAGCATTATTTTTACAATGAAGAAACAGCCTTACGACGATACCAAAAAATTTTATTAACAGAGGATGAGAAAAGTCAGGTGGTTTAATTCAAAATTGTAAAAATCAGTGGACGTGAGAACATCTGGATATTAACATTTGTTTCAGAGTATTTATATATAAAATCTTTATAAATTTCTTTGTAGTCAATTGTAATCAATTTCTTAAGCATGCGTTGGAAACAGAGGTTATGCCTTATTTAATGACTTATTTAACCTGTTTTCTGGTCACAGAAAGAACAAAGATGCTGACAGCTGCAGTAAGACAGCTAAAAACATAAATCTGTTGTTTTAATCAAGAGCAGGCAAAGGCCCATAGGTTATTACTTGAGTACGGTAACCCGAGTCAGCACTTGCACGTATGCATCCCTTTTTGACCAAGGTAACTTCAATATTGAGATTAGTCACCAGTCAAGAACTGGCCTCTCACAATATCTGAAAAGCAGCAGGGAAAATGCTGGTTTTGCAATGGAAGATCCCCTTACAACTATAAAAATAATGCAGAGGTACAATAGGTACCATGTTCCACTAAGCCCCCTCATTACATATCCCAACTTTTTTATTTTAGTGCAATAAATGAAGTTGTCGTGGTTTGTTGTTTGGTTTGGGGTTTTTTATGGGGGGAAGAGGAGGCGGTGTGTTTTTTGGGGTTTTTTTGTTTTTTGTTTTTTTTTTAAATAACCTTGTCTTTATAATTCTTATCCACTTCCTCTTCATGTATATTCTAGACTAACTTCGTCCAAATACATGTATTCTGACTATTAAATTATCTGCGAGTCTGGAAAATATTGAGACCGTCAAACATTAAACAATCATTTAACTTTTTCATTGTTTTAATGATACATTGACTAAACCTAATGTAATTAAGTAAATTGTTCCTCAATTATCAAGGCTCCCTTGTACTTGCAACTCATTGTACGTTCCAGTTTGCATATCCCAAGAATGGACGCTGATTATTAGCATTGTTTAAATGAACGTATTATTATCCAATGCAGACTGCTCCTGTTAGGCTTACAGGCCAGCTACGCACTACAAAGTAACTTCATCCAGCTTCTGCTTCCCAGCGCTACCCTGGGAAGAACCAGACGAGCAGACCAGAACATAGCCCTCCTGCTTCCAGTTCTGTGTGCACCAGGTACAAGCGATTTAGACGTGGAAATAGGAACAGCAGTACTTGCTTTGAACTCCCATGGCAGTTGCACAGGCTCAGAAATTAAATCCCACCACACCCATGTGGGTGGAAGAAGTCTAGGTGTATGAAAATTCCTCAACTCAACCTACCTGAAAAGGTAGGATAACCTAAAAAAAAAAAAAGCTTTTATACAAGGTTGTGTGTGACCTACACATCAAACTATTAGCAGAACAAAGGCAAAATCAGACTGCACCCAGTGATCACACACAGACAAAAATAAGATGGTTTCTTTACTACATGCTAAAATACTAAAATATGAATAATTTTCTATTATTTAGGAATTTCAACAGCTTGAAGGACCCTATTTGAGGCAGCCGCTTATATTTCTTCATTTCCCTAAAGTTGGGGTTTCAATAGCAGGGAGAGAGAGGTGGATGAACGGACCTACCAGGCATGTATTTCTTGCTCCTGCAAAAGAGGTAGTGGGAGACAGGACAAGTAGCTCTCTGGCCTGCCCCCTCCAGATCTGAGGAATGCCAGTAAATTTATGCATGAGTAAGAGAGAGAAGAAAGGTTTCCTGCCAGATACACTATCATTCTTTGGCCACACTTACAGCCAAGATCCTCAAGGGCTTCAGTGTACCACGATCCCCACCCTTGTTCCTTGTCCCTGACTACACTCGACCTTCACGTCATTAGTTCTGCTTGGTGCCAAGTTCACACAAGGGGAAAAAAAGAAGTCAAACAGAAGAACGCCACTGCAGCTTCCAGGGAAGACGGGTGTGTCAATTAGACCACAGGTAGTTTGGAGAGCTCAACGGGTATGTAGTAAGATGCATGCCTACATGAGGGTGATGCATTTAAACAAACCACGCACTAGCATTCCCAGGAAGAGTAACAAGACTCAAGGGTAACTTTCTGGGGTGGGGGGGAATAAAAAAAAAAAAATCAAGAAGCTTGAAAGAGGACACATGTATCCACCACGTCTGGAGAAGGAAAGACTGACTTTCTTGGGGGAGTAAGAAAAAAATGGGTGCTCGAGAGAAAGAAAAAGAAGTTAAAGACTGGCTATAACTTGCAATGGGTGAAAGGAGGAAAGGTGGTGAAGACCATTAAGCTAAATATACCGGCTCAGATCTTTAGTCTCTGAAGCCCAGCGTGCCATCTCTGATGGTGGCCTGCTCCAGACAGCCTGGGCACAAGCAGCAGGGCAAGCCTGCCATACCACCCACAGCTTCTGGGGCTCTGCAGCTTCGGGGCACCCCAGCACAGAGGCTGCATCCACAGTCTATGCTGACCAGCCTCTGACAAACTTTTCTACGAATTTATCCTACCCCTTTTGAGTACATTTACATTTTTGACCTCTACCATCATCCTGTGCCAGTGAGCTCCACACCTTATTATGTGTGGCAAGAAAAACCACTTCCTTTTATTTTAAACCCACTGCTTGATAGTTCCACTCCATGTCCTTCAGCTCCCATGTTCAGGGAAACAGTGAACAATTGCATCCTATTCATAATCCCCATTCCCAAACTTTACGCAACTTTGTCACAGCTTTACTGACTTGGTGCTGCTTAATTTTTCTTGGTACAGAAGCCATTTCATTGCAGATCTGGTTCCCCTTCACCCTCACTTTCCAAGCTCTACTAATTGCTTCCCAAGAAGGGAAACTATTGCATAACATGTGCAAAAAAAGTCTGGGACACACTTTCTGATTTACAGAGACATAACAACAATTCATTCCGTTCCTATCCTCACCACTTGCCTTTTGAATGTTACTGAGTATTTAAGTTGTCACCGTCCAACTGTCCAGAAGGTTCATAATCTCTTCTCTGAGCAAGGATTTGGAGTCCATTAATCTTAATGGTTCGTTAGGGATACTTTCGCTGTAATGAGCTGCCTCATTTATTTTGACACAGATACCACTTGTCAAAATCCCTGCATCCTGCTACAGATCTGTTGTGGGGGGTTTTTTGTGTGGTTTGGTTGGGATATTATTTTATTTTTTTGCAGTGGATAGAGCACTACACTATTAAGAGACAAACTTTCTGATCTGAAATTCATCCTTATACGGGCATTTTGTATGTGTTAAATAGTGTAGGCTAACACCTGATTTGAAGTGCAAGTGAACTTAGTCTAAAGCACTTCACTGCTGGGCTACTTATTTGCTTTACGCATTCAAGTTATTTCAAATTTGACTACGAAGAAAACAGCAATGTTAACGACTTTCATCACTGAGCAGATGAATGCTGTTTGCCTATCTTGCACCCTCTCAAATATTCTCTTTAGCCATGTACTTCAGAAGCTGATATGAAGCAAAGAGTTTCTCCCAGCAGCCTATTATGATTTCAAAGAGTACAATCATCAACTTGCTCCACTTTGGACTAGCAGATTTTCAGGGAAGGGGTCATCTGCACACCAAAGAGTGCTGTAAGTCATTTGGTTTGTTCCCAGAGCTCAGACGCTCGGACTGCTTTGAAATAACTAGGAGCTGGAAAAACATCCAGAGTATTTAACATGCAAATGAGCGTAACAAGAATCCTATTTTGTTTTTATAATTCCTGCATTCAGCACGGCTAGAACAAGCAGCTTTCTCAAAACGGGGCAAGAGTTTTGTCTTTTCTCAGTTGCTTTGTTAAGAGCAGTTACAGGCATTATCTTCGCTAGAATTTATACTTTTTTTCCTCATAACCATTTTTGTATTTGTCTCAGTAATAAAACAGTCATAAAATTAATGAGGTAAAAAGAACATTCTCTGAATAAGAATAATAAAAGGCTCCCCTCTCTTCCTTCTTAACTATATAAAGCTTCTTTATTCCACGTGTTCTTTATCTGTGCTTTATGAACAATCTGGAAGATCTGAGTGTGGGAGTTTGCATTTAGGGCTGGTTTTGTGTTTTGTTTGTGTTTTTTTTTTAATAAGAACAAAAATTAAATTGTTTTCTACATTATGATATATAGTCTCTTAATATTCTAATTATGTAAATACTTGAAATGTTCTCATAGTGAACAAAACACAGAAGCCTCATTACTGCAAGCAGTTCTTTACATGTCAAAATTGCAATCAAAGTAAGAAAATGCATTCTTTGCAGATCATAGGTAGGAAGACTAAAATAGAAATGGGATTTTCCCATTATAACATTGAATCATCAACAGACGCAATCGCACAATTCTACTATTCTTCTGAGATGCTTCACTCAATCCACTTACTATGATGCAGATGTAATCATTAAAACAACCAATTGCCAACAAAATATTAGAGTAATAACCTTGAATAAAAATTTACAGATACAACAGTGGGAGCGATAATAAAAAACATAACTTCACTTTAATCCTTAAAAGGACTTTTCTTTTTTATCCCCCTTTTTTTTAATTAAGTCTGTTAAGTCATTATCTGCACTGCTTAATGTAATACACTGCTCTAGTGTTAGTTTCTACATGGTCTCAAGTGAAAGATCCCGGAATCAAAGGGCCACATGTGTGCATGTGCATGCAGAGCGCTAGCATGTGTACGCTGACAGGCACAGACAAACAAGCACTTGCTCTGTTCGCATACTTAACTCAATAGATGTGAGCCAGATCCAGCCCAGAAGATACATGGACGCGTTAGTTTGGGTTTGGTTTTCAGCACAAGCGATCAGCTTACAATCAATATGAAATCTATGCAGTGAGCCTCAATTCTGAACCTTTCTGCTACACCCAGAGAAAATCCTTTTAAAAACTTTAATAAAAGGTTCCTGTGCATTTCATAAGTTTGTTTTCTTAGTTTAGTGTAATCTCAAAGTCATCTCTCTTTTTCTGAGCATAAACACAGT